GATATTATTTATATTCTAAATTAGAGATTAGATATATACTCTAAATATTCTATCGATGAGGCAATCTCGAAATTACCTAGATGAGGTATTTATGGAACTACAGTGTTTATTAAAATTTCATGTTGATTTTTCTTCTCTCAAGAGATAGCTACAATACTATTTGCAAGGTACGGTATTGTCCTCTGACAAGGAGACAATTGAGATATTTTAATAGATTCTCTATATTAATTTCAATTCATAAGAAAAAGAATAGAATGTACTATTTTTTGCATATTGCAAATCAATTTATTAATGAAAAATAGAATAACACATAAAAAATTCATTTATTGAACATTTAAAGGCTCAATCTTGGCCGACAATAGGCCATACTACCTGAGCACTAGGTTTAATGTGGATAGGATCGTTTAACCAAGCTTCATAATTTGAAAAACGAGCTCCATGAAAATACATTCCACTAATCCAAATAAATATAACTGCTAATTGGCCAAAGTGAGCACTAAAAACCTTGCGAGAAATATCTTCCAAGTCATTACTATGATTGTCAAAATCGTGCGCATCAGCATGAAGGTTCCAAATCCAAGTAGTTGTATTAGGTCCTTTAGACAAATTTATAGAGAAATGGCCTGGTTTTGACTCAACTCTTGAATGTAAAATTCACATATACAAAGATTATTCATATGAATCTATGAATATTGACAATATACATATGATTCCTAATATCATCTATAAATATTATTTATTATATTATATATAAAAGAATAATGAAATAAGAATAATAGGAATAGAATTCAACGAATATGCGTATAGACTAAGTAATTAAGGAATAGGGTCTTGTTAGACATTCCTAAAAGTGTGTGTTTTTAGGATTGCGTCTTGGTTGCACGCAATCCTAAATCCAATTTTGAGATAAAAAATGTGAAAACGGCGTTAGGACGAGTCCTAAAGGATTTAGGATTCCCCAGGCAAAATCGTCCCAAATTTTTCTGTAGCCCCCGACCTACTGAAAAATTTAGGATTCCCGCATTTCACAGACTCGTTGCGTCACGTGCATGGCACCGTCGACACGGAGTTGCTGGTGCAGAAGCGGTCCGTTGGGTCAGTGGTCGAACATCAAAGGTTTTATGCGGGTCGACGCGGGCAACGGCCACGAACGGTAGCCATTGGCGGGGATTGGACGGACATTGGCAGGAATGGACGAACATTGGCAATGCATTTACGTATACGTATATGAAAACTGGCCACTGGAGACCTTTTAGGACGAATCCTAAAAGATGATTTTTAGGATTGCGTGTAACGACGCCGCACGAAATCCTTAAAATCCTTTAGGACGAGTTCTAAAAATTTTAGGATTATTTTAGGAGTGTCTAACGAGACCCTTACTGGGCACTATATTTCTTCTTCAGAAAAGTTAAACCACCAGTACTTGGCCCATACATCAGCCGCAACTTCCGAAGGCTCAGGGTACGGACCCTCAAAAGTTGGCGCCGCCAGCGAAAACAATTTCTTTTTGTTGCGCCGTGGGTCGTCGCGAGCGAAGCCTGTTTTCAGGCTCGGCATCGATAGCTGGGCCAAGTACTGGTGGTTTAAATTTTTTTGTCTGCCTGATCTCCACTCCTAAAGCACTGCAGTCTCCAAGAAGTTGTTTTGTGGAGGGTCATGAGGATGACCCTCCACAAAATAGCAGTAGAGAGTTGGGAACTCGCTGCATTCTGTGGCGGATTGGAAAAGGAGACTCGGCAAAAGTTCTGACACGTTTCCTCGCACCAAGTTTGGCTAATAAGTGCAACAAGGACCTCCTTGCCAAACTTGGCATATGGACAGTAGTGCAACCAGGCCCTACTACTGAGGGCCTAGTTGCACTACTCGCCATCCGCCAGGAATTGTGGTGGATAGGTGGAGAGTAAAAAAATGAGAATAGTGTCGAACTGGAGGCCTGGTTGCACTTAGGGCATACTCACACTGGGACCTATAATCCCAAATCCCCCCCCAAAAAAGTGTAGCGGGCCGATCACACAGATGTGCCAAAATACCAAATGCACTATTGGTGTGCCCATTTGTCAGCAGCCTGGGAAGCCGCGGCACAAGGGATTTTGCGGTCACCTCCAGCCCTATTTATTTTTTCACATTTTCTTTGAAAATTGGCAAAAGTTTGTTCACAAAAGCTCTTGCACAATTTGTGGATGGCGCCGTGTGACCAGCCAAGTACCAAATCCCCATTTCTTCAGACGGCCACGACCTTGTCCCATCTGAAAAGGTACAGCAGTGTGACATGAACCATGCCCAAAACCTAAAATCAGCCTTTCCCAAATCCGCATATTTTGCGGATTTGGGTTCTCAATGTGAGTATGCCCTTATTCGCCACTATATTTCTTCTACTGAAAAGTTAAAAGAAAATTGTCTGCTTGATCTCCACTCCTGACGCTGTGCACTCTCCAAGAAGTTGCTTTGTGGAGAGGTCCGAAGGACCACCCTCCACAAACCGCCGTTGACAGGCGGGGAAATCCAAAACACTCGCCACAAACTTGTGTTGACGGTGTGGCGAGCAGTCTGACACAGTTTTCATTTGCCAAGATTGGCAAGTAAGTGCAAGCAAGCACCTAGTACTTGCCAAACTTGGCGGACGGCGAGTAGTGCAGCCAGGTCCTGAGGCAATGGCCCTTGCTCCGCTAGTCACCGTATGCAGAAAAGACAAAGGTATGGTGGTGCATTTTTCCATGTTCTTACAAAAGACTCGTTCTCATTTTGCACATTTGGTGAGCCGTGGACAGACGCCGTGTATAGAGGGGACATCTGCAAGCATAGGTGCCTCACAAACTTAGAGGGATTCATGTTGCCGCCAGCTTCGGTCGTCGGAGATGTGGTGGGGGGTTGGGGGTCCGTCATACACAAAGACCGATCATTTTGCCAGTTGTGTGCCTCCCTTTTCCATCGTCCCCACCACCCATGGAATAGCCGCAGTGTCTAAGGCCAACACTCTCCCACACAACCCACTCACACTCAGGGCATACTCACACAGGGACCTGATGACCTTAAGTCCCAAAATTTGAGGCAGTTTTCAGGTCACACTGGCATTGGAGAGGCCCCCTACCCAAATGTACTTTTTAGTGACCCTTTTGTCAGCTGCCTGCATGGCCGCAGGAGAACACTTTTTGAGACCGCCTCCAGAGGTGGTCTCAAATGACCTTTTCAATTTTTCCTTTCTCCGTGAGGTATTTCAAGAAATTTGTGCATGAGCAAAACACCCATGGGTGTTATTTCAGTTCCAAAAAAACACAAAAAAAAACCTCTCTCTATATGTTTGGGTGTAACCAGTGTGACTACGTGCAGTTCTGTGAGGCACAAATGTCAGGGCCACGACTCTGTGGACACAGAACTCGTGTGTGACCGCGCCGGCACCCAAAGGCACAAATACATGGTACCAAACGCCCCAGATATTTGTGACTTAGATCCCCGTGTGTGAGTATGCCCTCACACTCGTGTTGGGCAAAGACCCTGCCAATACCGATCAAAGGTACCAAGCGGACTATCACAGCTGGTTGGCACTAAGTGTGCCTCAGGTTCGAACCGACAACCTCCTGAATGCCACTTGCATACCTAAGGGTCTGGTCGGACAACTCATTGTAAGGGTACTTTCTGGAAAAAATGGATCCCACGCGTTTCCACGGTGAGTGGGCCTTGAGATTAAACTGGCTGTTTCTTCTCTCAGCCTCCTGCGAAGTAGGCCGGTTTCTTTTTCTTTTTTGTCTTTTAGTCAGTCCACCATTGGCTGTTCGCGTTGTGGTGCAGCCCGTTTCAGCTTGGGCGGGCTTGGTCCCACCTGTGCCTTTCCGTTGTAGGAGGCTACCACGGAGCGACTGGCGGGCATCTAGGGACCATCGATTGTGTCAATCCGTGGTCCTTAGGCGCCCGCCGTGGTAGCCTCCTACAACGACGATGCGCAGGTGGGACTGAGCCCCGGGTCCGGAATTTTCTTTCACGTGCCGAATGCCGTGGACCCATCTTTCAAGGAACTTTTCTCTTTCAAGGAACTTTTCCAAATTTTGTCGGATCAGCCCCTACCCCACTAAGCTGCCCGCTGGACTCTGCATGATTTTGTCCCAGGTGCCCCTTCTACAGCCCTCCCCCTGGTTGCCTTTTTCTTATTTGGGGGGTTGGCACTGACATTGTTGTATCCATATGACGATTGTGATGATTGCGAGCTGGTCTCGAACTCACGACCTGTATACCTTTCAGCCTCACGGTCTCGGTGTCCTCCTTCACTCTTGCTCTTCGTCCTTGGCTTTTGTGCCCTGACCAGCGCCACAGCAGGTCGTGTCTCCGCAGCTGCCCTTGTGGCAGGTTGTTGTTCTTTTCACTCTATTCTCTGACGGTAGATCCAAATACTTCGCAAGCAGAATGCGGTAGCACGGGCGAATTATATATCTATGCCTCTTATCTTAGCTTGATAGATAGGTCATTTAAGGGCATATGTTGTCGCTGAATAATTTTTTGGAGTGGATGTGTTTGTTCACGATTCAGCTCGGATTCAGCCCAAGCAGTGCGAGTCTGAGTATGCCCTAAATAGTATGTGAGAGAGAGAGAGAGAGAGAGAGGGAGAGAGGACGACGGCATTCGGGTGTGTGTGTGTATGTGTGTGTGTGTGTGTGTGAGAGAGAGAGAGAGAGAGAGAGAGAGAGAGAGAGAGAGAGAGAGAG